GCATTTGGTATGAACTTGGAGTCATCCCTTGAAGAGGTAAGGAACAAGTCCGGCATTTATCATAAAATGTGGATCCCGCTCTTACAGTTTACTTCATATTTGGTACAGTTTCATTTTTTCTATGGACAAAGATCCAGTGATTGATGTGTTCATACAGTCACTTCTTTTATAACCAAATTACTGCATGGCAGACTGCACAGTATTGTATTGCAGCCTTTCTTCTGTGTCATGTCCATGGAAAAGAAATGGGAAGACAAATTTTTGGTTGTATAAGTAGTTGATTATAAAGAAGTATTAAAGTTTCCTTAATGATCATCTATTCTGACAAGAGCAGCTTTGTCTTCCAGATACAAGTGTATCTGTCAAGCAGCCAGGGCATTTCCAGCACATCAGAGGAAGTACTCTACTGTCAGTAGTTGTTTATACCTCAGCTGGGGAGAAAGGGGTACAGGCTGGGGCGTGGGTGGGTGGTACAGCTTCAAAACAGCACATGCCACCTTTAGAACAAAAAAGCAAAGCAAAGACTTATACCTTTTCAAATCAGTTAAATATAAGGGTTGAATTTTCAAACTTCCCAATGAAGGAAGGAAAACTGCATGGAACAGTAACTGAATACAGTAGTGATCCTAAATAAAATGCTTTGCTGTGAAACAGCCCTTTTTCCAAGTAAGGGCTTGGCTGTTGATGGTGAAGAGTTTACTGCTTCCTCTCATAAAGGAAGAAAACACTGGTGGGGAGTGAGAGATTATTTTTGCGTAATCCCTTCTCTGGAGAGATAATTGGATGACTAATGGGAGTGTTCTGTTGGTAGGACCCCAGGATATTTTGGTTGGTGACAGGGATTATGTTTCTGGGAAGTGGTCTGATCTGGCGGCGCTTACTTTCCTTCCTTGGGCGGCACCTGGATCCTCCACTACCTCCTCACGTACGTATGGCTGGCTGGCCTCACTCTCTGCATGTACAGTCCATTCCTAAGGCAGAAAATAAGATGGCTTAGATGGGTAGGCCACAAAGCATGGCAAAATTCAGCTCAGGGTCTGCTCCATGACAGAGAAAGTGCTCCCTAGCTGGACTGAAGGAGATGGGGAGCCCCAGCACTGGGCAGAAGTGAAGCTGCAGGCTGTTCCATGAGAAGTACTTTCACCTGGAAGCCCAAGGAGAGTGGGGGCTAATGGTAGAAGTAGTCCTTGTCCTGCTACCCACATACTAACTCTGGATCCATAGTCCCTGACTTGAACAAGAGTAAGTAGAGCTAAAAGGATGATGAGGACGAGCACTAGCTGTAACATCTCTCTGGAGAACAATGCCGTGGTTGTGATGTCCTGACTCAGTGTGAAGTTTCTAAGTTTCTTATATACGCACCACTTACCTTTGTCATTGAGGGTACCGAGCTGTAGGAAGATTTCCAAAGTGACCATGCTCAGATTAGCATGTATGGGTCATTTTCCCTGTTGACTGCACTTTCCAGGACTTGTGGAACTGTGTTGTCTACCTCATCTCTGCATTGTAATATTTATAGCAGACCAATCAGTAAAGTCAAAAGTTAAGTTGCTAAAAGTGACAAAGGGAGGCTCAGATAAACTCCCCTTCTTTCTCCTCTTTTGCTACTAAGAATCAGCTGGCAGTAGTTGTGGATTGTTGACTATGGCTACAGTTTACTAGAATATCCTGAAGTGTAGCTCGAAACCAAGTCCATCACATACTGACTGACTTGGAGAAAGATATTGGGAGGTATTAGGGAGGGAGAAGCTAAAGACACTGTTCTGAAAATAAGGGGAGCAAAATCAGGGTTCAAACATCTGTGGAGCCTTACTTCCTTCTGCTACATGTAAAGCAGCTTCTCATGTAATCAGGCTATTTTGTTTCTTGCCTAGGTTCCTGCAGCTTTGAAAAAATCCCAACCAGCAGCTGGAAGAGTGGACATAAAGACGAGTCTTAAAGGAGAAACATTTGGGCTGAGCAGAAGCACATTAACAAACCAGTAGGAACAGCAGGAATGAAGAGACTTTCATTGTTACAGGGTGGACTTTGGACACTTTCCTTGTATTTGTTCTTCCTTACTGAAAACTGCAAGAATTTCTAAACTTGCTAATTTAATACATATTTTGTGCCAAAAACCCACAACGAAATTTTTAATGCTTATGCACATAAGGAGAGAAACATGAGAGCAAATAGCAAAATGCTTTCTACAGTAGTTTCACCTCCGCCACATGTATGTGCCTTTGGTTTTCTGTATCACATACATGTACTTACTTTTTGGGCATTCTCATTTGTAGTGTTTCTGTCAAATACTGCTTTGCTTAGTGGTCTTTCTTAAAGAGAACAGAATTTTTGGCTTAAAGAAGGGAGCAGTCAGGATTGATCAATAATTCTGGTTCTGAACTGCAGATTTAGGAATCTGACTTCAAAGAAAAATCCACCCCAAGACTGACTTCTTGAATGGATTTTTAAGGCCCTATTTAATTGTAGAGAACAGGTTTTCTAAAGCAAAAAGCATACCTGCATCTCTTGTAAAGCATGACTTGTAGATTGGCAGCAGTGAGAAAAAAGGAGCAATAAAAGGCTTTGAAATATAGCTGCTAATCTTGTATATTCCTTAACAATTAATTTAGGCTCCAAACAGCAGTTCTAGGAACAGGACAAGCAGGCATATGGAGAATGCCCACTTGAGTTTTCCATCTGACACTGTTTCAACACACATTGATACCTCTGCAGTTTAACACCTCCTGTTGCTGTAATTCAAATTCTGGTAAAAATCATCAGATGGGTTGTTGGTTTTTCTTAAGATGGGCTGTGCTTTCTCTCTTCCCTCTAAGACAAAGCATGGACTAGCCTGCACCACAGTAAGTAGCCAGGTTAAAGGTGTGGAAGCCTGATGTCCTGTGATAGGCTGAAGGAAGGAGTAAAAGCCTTATGGCAACTATTTGTTTGTTCTTAGGACTTCTCTTTAATGGTGTGGTTCTCCACTGGTTTCTCTCAGGTTGTAGAGGGAGCATGAAATCATGTCACACTTTGTCGCAAATTTCCTTTTTGGTATTTTTTAATCTATCTGTAACACAGTCAGCGACTCCTTAGGTGCTACCATGTAAATCGCTGTATGGCAGGGTTGAAAAGACAGTAGCTGTAGCTGTGAACATTCTTCTCAGGACTACTAAGTCAAAGATGGAAATAAAAAGGTTCATAAATTAAAGTTGTCCAGGCCTGTGATTCTGGTTTGGTTAAAGTCAGTTGTATGTAGTTCCTTTCCAACAGTTCTTCTGTACGTGACTTTAAGTACAGATACTAATGGCATGAGAAGGTGAGAAGGATAATGGGCCTTGTTATGCTTTTGAGTTTTTTAGCTGATTTTTTTTTGCAGCCTTTAAGCTTAGCAGGTAAAGTAGTAAAAAATCACCCAACTGAGCAGTCCAATGGAAAAAACAATTACCCACATACTTTGGCTGATAAACTCCAGGAATCTCAATGTGTGAAGGGAGATAGATCCTGATATTTTCAAATGAGCTGTAGTTTCTTTAGGCCAGAACTGATACGTGTTGGTGCAGCTGTTAGGGAAGCTTTCTCATAAGCTTTTTTTGCAGGGAGGCTTCTGTGAACTCCTTTTGACTCTTTACCTGTACGTAACTGACTCAGAGCACAATAAAAACATGACGTGTCTTCTACAAGACTGTTTTTTATCTGTAGGCATATGCAAATGTTTAAAGTTTTTCTTACAATTCAAGTAATCAAAATGCAGTCAAGTGCAATAAAATTATGTGGAGGTCATACATAGAAAAAAGCAGTAGAGAGTGTATGTTCAGAATGGAATTGCTACAGAATATACTGGTTTTGTCAGTTTTGATTTGAAGAGAAAATCTTTATTCTGCCCTTGAAAGTACACTGCTTGTTTTGCCTCATACCACAGTTAACAGATCTGTAACATAAGTACTGCAATCCTAGTTACTAGTAGCCAGTTACTTCTTTCATGAAGTTCAGATTTAACTTCTTTTTTAAAGTGTTCAGCTATTTGGGTAACTCCTCAAAATAGATACCAGAATGCATTGTACATCAAGCTAATGTTCACCTTGCCTTTTTCGATTTGTTTAGAACAACATCCTTGAGAGAGAATTCCTAGGAAGGTAAGTTGAGGTGTTTAATTTTGGAGTATGACCTTTGGAATTATGTGCAATTTTATTTCAAATAAAAATAGTACCTTGCCTTTGTGAAGGAGGGAAGAGAGAGAAAACACACATATGTGTCTACAGACTAGCATTGGTAATAATAGTATCGACACATTCTGCTGCTCAAGTTGTTTAATAGATAATTGATGTACACTGTTAAACCTGCATCATACAAAATTAGTGTTAATTAGTTAAAGACAATACTGTTAACAATAAAAGCCATTAACAACTCCATGTTACCATGGTCATGGAATTTTATATAAAAGCAGAAAGGATGTCAAGAGTAATCAGCCAAATTGCATTTCCTCAAACTTTACCAGTCTTGCTTGTTCTTTTTTTCCTGGGAGATCTGAGCTGCACTACACCCTCAATGCATGCCTCAAGACTTGAGAGAGAGAAGAGACAGTCCTGTTGATCAGCACCCACCTTTCTGTCAGTCTTAAAGCTGCCCCTGCTCCATGCTTATTATTTTGACAGTAACTTTCCATAACTTAGAATCCTTATCACAGTATGTAAGAATTGTAAATGCTGTGCTGCAGTTTCCCAGTTTTGTCAAGAAGATACTCAAATCTGGCCAGTAAAGAAGGTGGCCACTGACCATTCTTTATACAGCCAAATACTACTGCCAAAAATACAGCTGCTTGCTCATTTCAACCTCTCAAAGGTTTTCAGACCAGCTTGCTTGTTTTAGATAAGCGATGCTGCTGCCCACCACAGAATTCAGCAAAAGCTTGCTGACATGGTATGTTGGTTTGTGTGGGTTCAGGAAAGCAGCACAAATACTACAGAGATTCTTCACTAGAAGACCAGGTGTGCCCTGGTCTTTAAGGCTACTGCAAACTTCTAGAGCGAGTAGACAAAAAGCCTTCCACCAAGTCGAGCTTTCGCAGAACTTCTCTCTGCTGCCACTACAACTTCTTTCTGCAAGGATAAAGAGCAAAGGTTAGCAAAATGCAGGTGCATGGCTGCCTTAAGCTTCCCTTGTGGATTTTGACCATCTCATTAGTGTCATATAGAAATGTGATGTGAAATGAGAGAGCAGCCCACCTCACTGGAGTAGCAGTTAAGATGATAGTTTGGCAAAACAGACTATTTCATTTGGGGAAGTGGAGCAAGCTGGAACCAAATGAAATTAGTCTCTTGCCCATATAAACTGCTTCTCAGGGCTAAGATCAATAGGGATGAAGGGAGAGCATGGACTAAAGGGTGCTGTAGCAAGAGAAAGCAGCTGCTTGGAGAATGGTCTCACTTGCACTTAGCAGTGCCTGTGTTTGAGTTGTTGGATTATGCACCCTAGTCTAGCTGAGAATTTCCAGGTGTTTCTCCATCGCATATTTTAACACAAGAAGTCAAACACCATTTGCTGAAGACCTCCTCAGCCTGGTACTGAGGCTTCCTCTGTACTCACACAGAGAACTCCAGTCCTCATGAAGGTAATGTTAGAGTGAGTAGAACATTGGAACATGGCCAAACAAGCACTAAGTAACCTACCAGATGACAAAAAGGCTCCTCAGTGCATCATACAAATGTAGCAAAAAATGGTAAAAATTAGTAAAAAAAAAAAAGGACACCTGAGGGAAGCAAAGAGAAACAGGTACACAAACACATCCTAAACCAGTCAGGTAGGAACTGGACTTCTGTGGTTAGAAACGTGATGTATGAATGGCATTCATTGCAGGTGATAGCCAGGACAGCAAGCATGTAAAGACTAAATGAGGTTTTGGGTGCCTGATTTGCTCCACAGCTGAGCATCCACTTTGCATGCAGGTTGGCATGAAGCTGGGAGGCACCTACTGCATTTCCCATGGAACCTTTCAGCATACTCCTAAGCAGTTTTGAATTCAGGCTGCTTTAAAGAGATTAAATTTTTTTAATTTAGGTGCCAAAATTTTAGCAACTCCATAGCTCATTAATCTACAAAATGGGTTTAATTATTGGTTCAGAAAGTAACTTAACTATGTAAAGAACTTAAGACTTGAAAATGTGTAAGATACATGTGAGGTATTAGCTAGTATATGCAAGTGAGGTAGAAGGATGATGTGAAACAACCAACCACAGTAATTTTTCTCACCTTTTTTTCAGATTTCACAGTGGTAACAGAACTCCCAAATCTTGATCGTTCCTGTAAAATAACATTGCTGGTTATAATGCTGCTATGTTTTTTTAAGCAGGACTTTTTAGTTTCTCTCAGTAATTTTTCTGGTTACCTACCTCAGGAGAAATGAGGACATACTGTGCCTAAAGAAGAAAAAAAAGAGGAAATAAAAAGTCAGTGGAAGAGAGTAGGAGACCAGTATGAAACCCCTGGCTCCTAAACAACAAAGTAATTTAAGAACAAACAGGAGGAGCCTGAGAGTTTTGCACAGATTCAGAAACCTAAGAAAACCTGGAACGAAGGCAAAACACACTTGGTATTTGTACTGGATGTAATTAATTAGTTGTCATTCTAAACTTATGTCCAGAATTCATTTTCATGTATTCTTACCCAGTCCTCAGGACAAGGAGATGTCCATGATGTGCAGTGGCCTGTCACGTTCCCTGAGGATGCCTGTCTGCCATTGAAAATATAAACACGGCCAGCAGCCCCACCAGACAGGATCGAGGTGACACCATTAGTTCGCAGTGGGGATGCCACAATCATTTCATCTGCACGTATTACAAAGAGGATATAGCACAGCAGAAATGAATTAATGGTAGACCAAAACACAGGAGAGCTGGCATTTACATGCCTCTAGATGCCACAATTCCTATTAATGATGGAAACTAAAATGTTTCAATTTCTGATTGAGTTGCTTGGGATTTTAGAAAGGCCTCCCTGTAAGGCACAATGGAATACTGGTACAATTTAAATGAGCACTTTTATGAATATGTAGGTGACCAATTTTCCTGTTGCCAAAAGTCAAACACTTCACTTCTGGTCTAGATGCATCAAGCTTTACCTAGCCCATCGCTATCCAGATCACTTAAGTATATGTCTCCTCCAAAACGAGAAAACCTCCTGTCCCCACTGAATGCGCTGAGCAGAGAAGGCTTGGTGCTGTTTGACAGGTCATATACTAGAGCCAGTCCAGCTTGATGCAGCACTGAGGACATAAATAAAATCCTAGACAGGCTGTCTGGAAAAAAAAAAAAACACCAAAAAACAGATGTTGAGCATCAGACATAGGAACTCAGATTTAATACTTAAAATTATAGGTAATACTGGCATTATATAAAATGGATAAAATTAATATAATGTATTAAATAACAGGAACAATTATATAGGATTAACATTAATTAGCATAGGAAAAAAATCTTTTAGTCATAGTACCAGGGGAGAAATGCACTCAAGTTAGACTTCTGCAGTTTGATATCCTCAATTCCTTTCTGTCTACTGCCACAGTGAGGACAAAATACTGTGTTGTTTCAATTCCAAGAAATATGCAGTCTACTAGAAAATCACTGTTACATAAATAATGCAAAATTGTAATGCTGTTAAGCCCATTTTAAGGAAGGAAGAAGACCCACTGAAGTTGAGGCACAGTAAAGAGGACTCTATATATAAGGCATATACAGGTGATTACAGTGATTTCTAATTATTTTTTTTTTAATTACATGGAAATTTAAAAGTCCCTTTTCCCTTAAACATTGTATCTCCACTCAAGTCATGCAGAAACAAACATCCTGAAGCAGAAATGATCTCCAATTTTCAGGACATACCTGCAGTAGGTGCACCCACCACCAAAACTTTCCTTGTGTTCCCAGCCACAGACAGCACACCACTGGCCAGAGACAAACCCATTCTGCCCATCTCCTGTTAGATTTTTAAAACACCTATGTAATTTCTACAGAAAGTCACTTCACTTCAAATTATTCACAAATATTCACAAATTATTCCCATACTAAAGAAGCAGCCCTACCTTGTCTCCAGTTATCTCAAACCAGCGCTCCGTACTTGGTGGGTTAAACCCGTACACCTTCCCAACACTCTGTCTGACATCCGGCAAGAGGGGACTGCAGCTGGAATTACAATGCAAAATAAATTTGTATGTAACAACATATTATTATACACGTTCTCCCTTTTTACTTTGGAATAATAATGCCTGACAAATTCTAGAAATCTACTTTAGTAATTCCCATACTCGTTCTAATTAATTACACAATACTTAGAGTGTAGACTTGGTCTGTCTATCCACTTTTTTATCATCCAATACATCTTTATGTTTAATTTGCTTTTAAAAATGCTATCTCAAAGTAAGTGCTATTCATATGGTTATTAAAAGCACATTTACCCATCAGCATTTTTGTGACCCCTCTCTTCCCTCCTCTAGGAAACACAAGAAATTCTTAGGTGTCTTTAAATAACAAATACCTGCTCTAGAGAGGGTCTAAAATCCTTGTCTTCATAAAGAAGGATGAAGACACAAAACTATTAATTTAATAAAAATATTCTAAGCAGAACAAAAAGGAAACTTCCTAAAAAGCTGGAAGTCTAATCTATTGCAAACCTTAAACCTTGCAGAAGTAGAGCAGAGTGGAGAAGGCAGCAAGCTGTCACATGCAACACACCTAGAACAAGTCTTCCATGTAGGGCTACCAATCAGTAGTAATGTCACGTTCTCCAGCTGGCAGCTGGCAAGTGAAAATCCAAACCAAGCATAGTTTTCTTCCCCCTGCACCATCCAGTTGGCATCCTGTACTGACAGAAGTCCTGAGAGACCAGAAAAAAATATGAATTAAATCTTGGTGTGCCCTGGCATTGAAAAACCCATTTTCAATCCTCCACTGATTCATCCTATGACATGTTTCTCAAGTTGTGCAAAGTTACACTGTTCATGACATGGCATCAGTAGTTGTTGACTTTGCTTGCTCACCGTGCAGCTCTACTGGCTGGTGAAAGCTTTCATTTGACACAGTCTGTTTCTCAATCCTTCCAATAGCCTACATGAAGTACATGAAAGCTACCACTCAAGCCTCCCCTAAACTACTTATTGTTTATCAGAACTTGTAATTCTTCAAGGGTTCTGGGTGGGTGAGCTTCAGACCATTCTGGCTATAATTTAAATAACTAATTCTATGCTTTGATTTTACAAAAATGTCACTTAGCAGTGTTTTGAACCCATGTTCTAGTGGTTTCTAATTTTACATGAATTAGAACAAGCTGCAAAAATTAAGCATTATTGTAAATCTCAATTACATGATTCTGACAAAGCTGCCCAAGCTTTATTATTTAGTTCCAGATATGACATTTCCTCCCTCATTCACTAGAAACCTCATCACCTGTCCTCATGAACTGTATTCACTTGTAGCATTCCTCTTTAGCCACATGAAGGAGCATACAGAATGATAAATATTCATTTGTTGAGGTTAATTTGCAATTTTCCAAGAAAGAGCAGTGAGCCTACCCTGGACTCACAATAGATGGTTGAATCCATTGCTTTAGTAAAGTTCTCAACACAGTTTCCCACAATTGTTCTTGCATCCAAGCTGGGACATTGCAGTCCAGATGGACAGAAAACCAGATGGGAAAAACTTGGTAGAGATTATCCCTCTGACAAGAGCAGAAAACCATGTGTTGTTCTCTGAATGCCTGCAACAAGTGGAGTGCCTTCAGGGATCAATTTTTTGACTCATCCTGTTGGTCACTTTATTATAAAACATTTTTATAACAAGATGCCCTTTTTTGAAGCTGGGAGATAACAGGAGATTGCAGGGGGGTGGTTTCATTCAGAGGCACCCAGGCAGGCTGGAGTAACAGGCTCACAGGAGCCTCACAAAATTCAGTGAGGACAAATGCAAAGCCTGACCCTGGGAAAGGAGATGCCCTTGCACTGATACAGCTGGGGACAGACTGGCTGAGGAGCTGCTGTGTGGAAAAGGCCCTGGAGATCCTGGTGAGCAGAGAGTTGAGTGTGAGGCTCTGACAGCAGACAGCCAACTGTGCCTCAGACTATGTAAGCAGGAGCATGGCAAAGAGACTGAGAGAAGTGATTGTTCCCTAGATCAGACCTATAATACGTTGTTCCATAACAGAAAAGATGTTGACAAACTGGAGCAAGTTTACTAGGGATGTTCCATGCTTTCTGTGCCTGTGAGGTCACTATGCATGGTGGGAGGACAATAGACAATGAACATAAACTGAAACAAGAAAGGTTCATACTGGCTGTAACAAGAGTTTTTTTTCCCCATGAGGACTACCAAGAAGTAGAACAACTGCCTGAAGTGTCTCTGCAATTTCTACCAGTGGAGGTTTTTAAGATGCAGCTGGACAAAGCCCTGAGCAATTTGGTCTGGCTTCACAGCTTGAGTAGGAGGGACACCCTCAGATCACTTCAAACCTGAATTATAGGATTAATAAGGAACAAATAACCAGTCACATAAACTATGGGAGGGTTAATTTACTCAACTAATATTACCTTGGTGACTCCTGTTGAGATGAGAGTAAAATGCAACCACAAGTCCTCTCTGCTTCCCACCACCGGGTGCATATGGAGAGCCCACAACCAGATCAGCATTTCCATTCCCATCAACATCAGCTGCCAGGAGGGACCAACCAAGATTACAGTAGGAATACTGCAATAAACAGTTAGTTTAAGCCTGAAATAGAACTGAAACCATCAATTCTGTAGCAAAATAGAGCAACTTAATTCTAAAGACCTAAATTTACTTTTGACCAAATTACCTTCCCACTCCCTGGCTTCAATTTTGTTTTCTTAGGTTTTTTTGTTTGGTTTGGGTCAAGGTTCTTGGGTGGCTTCTTTTGGTTTTGAGGGCTATGCACCTTTCTAGTCATCCTGCTGCCTTCCTGCACTGGGGTATAAATGTCTTTCCCAAATACAACCAATCTAACCAAGCACTTGCTTGCTCCATCCCCATCAGTCTAAATTTCCTTGCAATGATAAGTTGAATTTTAACATTCTTTTTTCAAGCCTGTAAGCTCTTTTTCCTTTTATCTCACCTCCTGCCTGTGTAGCCCTGTGTTAGCCTGGCTAACAGGGTAGCATAAACAGGACATTACATTATCAATATACCTGACAAGTTATAGTAACGTTTGGCTGAGGAGCCAAGCCTCTTCCCTCAATTCCAAAGTAGACATACACAGCACCCTGAACAGCAGAAAAAGAAAATAAGGCATGAGAGCACCTGCATGTCAGTATCAAGTATGAAATGCAAGGTCAATCACAAAGAATGGAACAGCTCTGCAAGGGCTATATTTTCCCTCTCAGAGCTCTCCCATAATACTTTCTTTCCCGCCCCAAACCCAAAAATATCCATGAGTAATTGGTACTGCTCTAACCAAGCAACAAAGTAGAGAAGTACACGTCCTTATACTATGTGTAAGGAACAAGGGCAGTACAGTATATTTATACTCATAATACACATGTTCAGATGGCTCAAATTTTGACAATTATTATTTAATGCAATGGCAAACAGTACCAGGCATAACAGATGCACACAATTTTCCAAGTGGTGAGTCTAAATAAAAGCAACTTAAATTCTTATTTAGACAGCTAAATTAGTATCTAAAATTCTGAAGAGTTTTAAGCTTAATGGATATAGTTTAAATCAAAACATCCTTGCCTCTCAGTTTGCATGGCCTAAAAATATTCAGAGACCATTATACAGGATTATCTGGTAAGCTGCAAGTCATTAAGCCTCTGTAACTTGATTATTTTAGCAAGTGTGTCTGTGTTCATATCACATTTTAGATATCATTTGTTGGCCTTGTGACAGCATATGACAAAATTCATTGACCCATGAGGTCCATTCCATACTCTCTGTTCCTAAACAAAAAGGGTATGTTTGTATTTCATGAATGGCCCCTTACATTTCCAGCATGTCAGTGCTGCAAAGTTGCACTCTGGTTTAGATTTCTAATGTGCAAAAAGGCCACTGAAAGAGAACTACAGGTAGCTGTCATTGCTGTAGTCAAAGTACCCAGAAAGGTTATAAACATCTGTTTAAATTACAATGTCACTTTGAGCAACAACAGAAATTCTCTTTTTCATTTCAATGTTTAAAAATTATGTATAAGTAAAAACATTCACTTTGGAGAATTTAAAAAAAAAACAACAAACCCATGTTTGTAGCTTACTTTGTAAGTAAGAAACTGAGATCCCACAGAAGGTGCTCCAATTGCCAGATCTGGCACTCCATCCTCATTGAAGTCCAGGACTGCCAAGGCAGAACCAAATCTTCCTGAAGGCTAAAAGACAAGGGGTTGCTCTCATGTTTTCCAGTCAAAACCATGAAAACCAAATGTACATTTGCAGAGAATAACTGGAAACAGATGACAAAAGTCTATCGAACAATTCTTTTTCTTCTAAGTAATAACCCCCATGACAACATACTTAATTCTAAGTCAACTGTGTTAAAATTAAGGACAACTTAACATTAAGGACTACTGAATGTAATATGGTACTGCTTTGCTATTTCCTCTTCTGAGTCCAGTGCACCATTGATGTCAAGTTTATGGTCTTTCCTGTTGACAGCATTATGACTGGGAACCACTAAAACACTCTGTATGAAGACAGAAGCTGTTACTCCACAGTTTATAATCACAGAAACAAATGAAAAGGAAATGTATCTCATTTCTCCATATTATCTTCTTTATGAATAAAGGTATTTTCTACAGAGGATCATATTTAACACCCAAAAGGGTCATTTGCTCTTACTTCTTGGTTACAAACCAACCACCATCATGTCTAATCAGAGTTTTACCTTTTTTTTTTTTTTTAATACTCTTACTACAGACAAAATTATTTGGAGAGAAGTTATCAATTAATGAACAAATTTAGCTTCAAAGGAATTAAAATATATAAAATTAATAGTTTTAGATTAAAAAGGACAGGAAACACAATATTTTCTTAAATGCAGTGACCAGAATTAGCTATATTGTGACTTACAGAGACACAACCTGAATTTTATTTAAGGGCACTTAATGGTCTAATACTCACTTATCTGGTACAGTAATGGAAGTGAACCTACAGATCACCATCACTTCAAGTGTTCCTGGGACTTTAATAATGATTATTTTTCTTGAAAAGTATATGACATCAGGAAGAGTGTTTCAGGAACAATACTCATACACATTAATGATACTATTGCTCATTCAAAATTCACCAATTTTCAGGCAAAAAAAATTTAAGTGATAAATTTTTGCCTTGACCCCTTACCTGATGACCCTGTAGTACTTGGTCAGCTTTGCTATCTAGATCCATGTCCTCTGGTGGCAGACCTGACTGGTTGCCATAGACCACATACACCCTTCCTATCTGAACATGGCCCATGGTGCTGTACCCTGGTGCTCCAGCCACCAGATCTTCAAATCCATCCTGGTTTAGGTCAGTTGAGATCAGTGCCCTGTACAGCAAGGGAGTCAACAAAATCAGCATTTGTTTCCAGACCACCACAACATTAGTGGAAAAAACCCCATAATTCAGATAAACCAGGACATGTGTTTCCCCATATTGTTTTGTAAATATCTATACAGATTTTAAATATTATATATTTATTTGTGTTTTCTTGAATCAAGTAAAACCAGAAGAATCATCTTCCATCAATGCATCTGAGATCTTTAGGAACTGCTTTTTACTGACATTAGGCACCTGAGAGCAATCAGATCAAGGAGCATTAAAAAGGCTGTTTGCACATGACAAAGAATATTAAAAAAAAAAAAAAAAAGAAATTAAATATCTTTTAAACTGAACATCTGATTTAATCAATGGACTTAACAGGAGATAAGCAAAATGATCCTAGGTCTCAGTAACATGCTGGAGTTTAGAGAGGGAACAGTTTAGGGAAAGAACTAACTACTGTTAATTTAGCCAGTGTGAAGTAATCTCAAGAATTAAATCCAAATTTTGAGACAGCATAAGGGAAGACAGATAAGCATCAATGCAAATTTGTTTTATTACTCTTCCTTGTTGCAGGTCAAGATAGAACCTCATTGGCAATGCAAGAGAACATGCCTCTCTCTGTCCTGAATCTGCCTCTGACCTCCCTACTAGTTTAGAGTATTTCCAAGAGGTCTCACTAGACATCATAAGTTATCAGCACATGACAGATGATTAATTTTGCACAAACATAATTCAAAAACCAAAAAAGGGTAGCAACAATTCTTTGCAGTTCAGAACTAGAGACAATGGTAGTTCTAATGTTGATTCCTTACATTCTAAGCTTGATCAACATCTGAAAGAAATATCTTATACGTTTACTTGCTGCTCTGGTCATACAATATAAGACATTCCCTCAGATTTGTACCACTAATTGATGTGCAGTGTTACCTCTGAATAGTATCCAAAGGACCAACAATAATATTTTGGTAGATACTTAAAATTTTCAGAAATTAAGAGGAAAGTGGGATGAAAAAATTACCAACCATCCAAGCCTAGCATAGGGTGAAGTCAGAAAATATGAAGCTGCTGGCTTGGAGATGTGCTTAGATTTCTGATGTGTAGCTCCTAATGCTCTCCAGACATTGGTTTTAAAAGCATGGTTTATCAAGCGGAGGGATTTCTGAAATAAAAATAATAAAGGGACACAACAGTGGTTAAAACACAGGCTGAAACTCCAGCATGTTTTGGGACACCTCAAAAATCAAGTCACCAACAATGGAAATCAGCACATGGATTTAAGAGGAGTCTGACTCACATCATAGGCGCCATTTTAAAAAGACAAAAATCAGTATGCTCTACAGAGAGCACTACTAATCGTTCACTGCTATGCTTTGCTGGAGTTCTTAACCAAAAAAAGCCGTAATATGTCTGTAAAATGTAAATGCTAAATATATATTTTGTCATTTTTGGCATTGCAGGATGTGTTCTAACTTCACTACACAATGAGCAAAGTTTAAAAATTGAGTATTTATGACGTACATATATACATTAACAATGGTACTGGAATGTCCATGAAGTCAAAGACCAACCAGAGATCCTGCTCCTTCGTGCAGCATTTCAGACAGAAACAAAAAGAATATTATATAAAGATGACTTTTACCCGACACATCTGTTACTTCTCACTTACTGTTGCCCAAGGCTGTATGTCAAATTGAACTCCTCTCTCTGTATAGTTTATATTCTTCTCAAGTGTTTCTGGAAGCAAAGAAGTTGTATTCTTTTGATGTTCATGTTTTGATTGTTTGTTTCTGCTAAAATAAAGAAGGCAGTGATAAGAATTAATATAACTGAAATAAAGACTCAAGGTAAAAGCCGCTCTTAGGTTCTGCACAGTTCCTTTATACAAAACTTAGTTATTCATGCTAAGAAAATCTCAAACTTATACACAAAAAGATTACCCAAAATATCTCTAATTTTCAGTAGCTCACTGTCCACATTAGCAGAAGACTCTCCTTTCATCACTGAAGCTTTGAACCATCAGAGCTCTACTTACATGTGGCTGTCCTTGTGCTCCTTTGTGCAGTTTACGAACAGAGGGTTTTCAGGCAGGTAGCAGTCACTAAAGAAAAATACAGAGGATGCAATTTAAAGATTTTTATCAAAATGGAAATGAAACTAAAAACATAACTTTTATCCTTACTGATTTCTCTGTCAGGAGTCATCAGTTTTCTCAAGAAAATCAAAATCAGAGCATCATCATAATCCTTAGAAACCCCTATGATGTTTATTTGGTGACTTTGATTAGATTCTGTATGAATATCACGATTAGATTCTGTATGAATATTTATGGAGCTCTTGAAGGAAACTTATTGTAACATGCATGCATATGAATCTAAAGTGCTTTTAATCAAAGTGTTACAAAGAACATAACAGATTGTGCCATTCTGTATTTTAAGCATAATTTCCCAAAATAGCAACAGAGATATTTTCCATATAAATGGATAGATTAATTGCCACTGTTGGTCTTCTAAAGAAAAAAGGTTGTATTTGTAAGAGAGCTGTATAAGGTTAAACTTTTGAAACAATATGAAATTGTGAGTAGAAGCCTGAGCTTAAACACTAGAATATATACTCCCACTCTTTCTAATCCTATTTGCCTTCAGAATCTGAAGGTAATATCTGATCTCTCCTCAAAAGGGACATCTTTGCTGAGTGATGGCAGCAGTTAAAAGGTGCAGACTCAGATTGCCAGTCCAGGCAGAACCTCAGGGCATGGCTATGCAACATTTAAGCAAGCCCTTGAGTATGTCTTAAAGAATGCCCCAAATTTTCTCTGGTAAGTTGTCACCTGGGCATGCCAGAGGCATGCTAGAGCAAAGGAGCATGAACACATAAAAAATACAAATGCAAGGCCTGCGTAACCCTGTGCACCCAGGTGAAAGGCAGACATGGAGATCCCCTTGTCCAAGTGAGGATCTAAAACTCAGAACCTATTCTAGGAAAGATCCTGCCTTAAGAAGAAGAGTTAAGTGGGTGTCAGCACTTGACTACTGCATTTCATAGTTTAGGACACACACTATACCTGGTTCCATTCTCTAGCATATGGCTCATCAGCTCAAAAATGTTGTTGGTCCAGAATGCCATGTCATCCACTCCGCCAAGGAAATATTCGTGGAACTTCTCCACCAGAAATGGAGATTTACTAGCAAATGTTGGAAAAAGCTAAGGGATAGGCAACATACTCAGTAAGATGAATCACATCGTCTCCATGCTCATTTTTATAAAGAAAACAGAAAACCAACCTTGCCAACAAGAAGCCTTTCTCCATGCCTGAAAAAAAATCAGAAATAAAACTTGCTTAATTTAATACTTAATAGTTTAAATAGTTCTTTTCAAAAGTCCTACATGGTAAATACCATGCAAGTCATTACATTTCCGTGTTGATTGTTAATATATTTTTAAAGTTGTAATGTAAAACAATATCAACTTTATTGCCCTTAATTTTGAAGGATTCAGTTTTTGTAAGTGTTGTGTGACTTTTGGTAATTAACTGAACTACAGGAAACAGCTAAACTATTCAGGATATTCAAAAGCAGACACTGCCAGATATCCAAAGTCCTTTATGAATTATTCTTTGACTTGAAGGGATCTACATAAAGTGTAGATGAGGCATGTATCTAGAGACTCCTTCAGTGCATGATAATTATACTGCTCACTCACCACAGTGCAATGGTACTTGAAGACACAGCTGTTCTCAAATAAATAGGCATAAATATGTTAAAGGTACAAATGCATTAAATAGCCAAGATTCACCATCAGTGGCATAATAATTTAGCAGTCATTATGTAGTCCAAATTTGAATCCTAGTCATTAAAAAAATTCAGATGTGATTTTTGGGATCTAGGAGGGATTTTTCATTGCTGACATTAATGTGTAAGGTGTTTCAAATATGATTATCATATTTTTCCTACATATGTTTCACTTACAAATGTTCAGGCAGAGATATTCAACTTACAGTTCAAAAAACAGCAGATAAGTACATTCAGCAATTGTGCTTTCTGTTATGATCTCTTTTCCATAAAATTCCTTATAGATAGCAGCTAGGTCTTTGACAGGTACATACCTAAAAACAAAAAGAATGTATTACAACAATAGATGGTCCACATCACCTGATAAAATATTGCAGTTCTTGTAATAACAACAGCCTATAAAATATTCAAAATTTCAAAAGACTACATAAGGTCATGAAGATAGGAAAATACAGGATTGCACAGGCAACTGTGAGGAAAAAAAAGTGGCTATCTAAGTCTTCTGCTCCTTTTTATGCTTTTAAAACTGAATTAAACATCCTCAACTTCTCAAACTTTAAATATATCTCACTGAGCTTGTCACTTAACTAAGTTATTTAACTAGCTGCTAGGACATTCCAGCAAAAGGTCTTCACTAGTTATTTTACATATAACTACTTATAACTTAAGACACAAATAATTTAATCTTTTTTGCTGTGTTCCTACACATAAAACTCTCTTCTGTCCTTCCAGTTTTTATGTCAGAGAACACTAAATATGCATATAAGGAATACCAAACTCACAATATTTAAAAGTGTTGCAAGGGGTTTTTTTAAAAGAAAAATAAAGGAAAGCATTTTTTTTTAAACAGATTAAAACAGAATTATACTATGTGTAATTTTATTGAATATGACTATACAAAAAAAACCCATTAAATATGAAAGAAGGCAACCTCATTATCTTACCAACTCGATGCCAGGTAACTGAAGTCTAGCTCAAACTGACTCACTACGTCTCCTCCTGAGGATGAAAGAATGAAAAAAAACCCACATAGCCCAAGAAACAAAACCTGTTAGCTTTCTGTCATGGTTACAGTGTGCGTGAAGCTATATATGGCTCTTCTATATGCATTTATACGGCAGATCTTCTAGCTATGTATTTAGAATACACAAATGGTTCACCTGAAAGTATGCTGCACATTTTATACCTCCGGAGAATAATGTATAATTTAAAATCACAGTAGTGACTCCATCCATATCTTAGCATCCTTTGGTCTGCATTTTGGCTTTAATCCCAATGTCCATATGCCTTATCACATCTCCTGAAACCTGAGGACAGGTACAGCAGGGCTTTGCAAGCCATGGGGGAGGGCAAGAATACAGTGTCCATATGCCATCCTTAACTCCTGCATTGCACAGGACAAGAGCCAGAATCAACCACCAGGTTTTGAAGAGGGCTTATTGCAACACAAGGATCTATGATTGGCAAACAGAAACATTACCAAAATCTCCAGCACTGTGAGCTTCTGAGTATGAACCATGAAAATCAATCTGGAGAAAGAGAAAAACAAGAGAACTGCCTGTTTCTTCTCATATGAGCAGAAACAAACTCTCCAGCAACACTAATGGTTACTGGTCCCAAACCTGACCAACTTCACTCTTAATGAATTTTGTGACATTGTGTCTTTCCAAAAATCTTCCTGAAACAGGGCTCCAGCTTTTCTTTTTCCTCCCCACCACAGTCCAAAGCAAAGCTATCCATTCCAATAAATCCAGTTGTATGAATAAATAAAATAACACAGGCTTACTTCTCCCATGGCCTTTAGAAATCCTTGATCGATGCCCAGGCTATGCCAGCTAACATCTGCCACCATATGTGAAGCAATTCCAAACAGGAAAGCCACCAGCTTCTCTGTAGCCTACACAACAACAATCCATTTGTCCGTCATTTTATTCCTGTCTTTAAGAAAATGTTAGCACTTTCTGTATATGCATTAAACAAGGATACAGGTGAGAAGCTCTTATAGTCCAAGAGTTTATCAGGACAAACTGCTGACAGCTCATTGCTTGATGCTGTGGTCAACTTTTGTAACTTGAGAAGCTTTAAGCAGTTTATACAGTCCAAGGCCATAGAATTACATGGTTGATGTGAGGGTAATTTGCATACTTCAAGTTAAATGTGTACCAAACTGTTTTTCTGGACCAAGGATAAACAATTCCACTACCAAAGACTGAACTCCCTCTGCCACCATGGTTGTTGTGTAGGCAGATGGAGGAGAGAAATACATTCCTCTGCACGCTCACTTTTGACAAATTGTTTTTCATTTCCTCCTACATAGCTTACAGACCATTAACAAGAGCAAATCCAGACTAAGTTCAAGATTTCATAAGTAAGAAATCTAAAAGGTGTCCGGTTTTCAAATGGCAAACCCTGAACCAGATCTCACAGGAATGCAAGACCACAAATTATATTTAAAAGTTTGGACCTATGAAATGTATCATAAGCACCAGACCACAGTGGAAATAATTGACAGACTTTATAAGGAAACTGTAAGTTTTTTGTATGGTAAAGATTAAAACAGGATTTCAAGGGTTATTGTATAAGTAGAGACTTTAATATAAAAATGTTGGGTTTTTTCTACATCTCACAAATGATGAAATTACAACTAGTGAAGGTGAACAAAACAGTTGAAAACAAAGTCAATCAAGCAAAAGTTAATCAATTTTCTTTACCTCTTCCCATGGCTGAGGATAATTCCTTCTGATGTAGTCAATACTTGCTTTGAGAAATGGCGACCAGTGAGTTTCTTCAGACACATCATGGAACACTCCTATTGCAATAAAATTGTATCAGTATTTAATTTATTCTTTGGGGATAAATGAAACAGAATAAAAGAAAAAGAAAGGGGTTTTTCTCCATTAAAAAAACCACAGACGTTTGTTCAATTTAATGTCAGACAGATTATACATTTTGCACTCCAGCTCATTAAAAGTGCCAAAAGAGACTTACTTTTATCTGATTTATACTAACAAAAAAGATACTAGACGTACCTTCTATGATTTTGGTTTGAAGCATCTGAAAATTTGGTGCCTGCTCCTTTTCTCTGTGCCTGTGAGTAGGTACAGTACAATGAAAAGCTGCCTCCCAAGCAGAGAGGACAAAGAGAGCTGACAGAGAACCTGCTGACTAAATGCATCCATTTGGATGGCAGAAAAGCTATAGGGAATGGCAGCCAACTCAAAATGTCATGTTGTCTGGCAGGAATCAGTTTCCACAGGGCAGAGGCAGGCCATGTCATCATTATCACCACAATAATTTTCCAGAGAAAGGCAAACTAGCCAAGATAGAGTCAGTGTAGGAGGGAAAAAAGGAGGAAAGCAGGAAAAAATAGGTTTCATTTAGAAGAATCATTTACTACTCTCACCTGAATTTAGGCAGAAAGATTGTGTAGGACCTAACAGCGACCTTGCCTAAAAATGTCTGTGTACCTACATAAAGCTAAATGTAAAGGGATGTTGACATAGACATCAAGCACCACACTGTTAAATTCTCTGAGGGGGGAAGAAGGTAGGTGGGAGATTGTTCAGACCATCAGTACTCTTGGAGGAAGTGTGCGTGTTTGTTGACACAGCAATGTGAAACTGCACAATGCTAGGGTAGATTAAACAATGAGAGAGCAGACCTTCGGGGGCAATTCACTTACCTTTTGGCCTCTTGACATATTACAGTGCAGCTAAACTAGATAAAAGAAGGATGGTTCTTGCTTAGCAAAATCAGAGTAGCCTTCTACATCTAAGCTTGTCTCCTGCCCAGAGGCAGTCTGGATGGCTTTGTTCTTGATCTTGTCATGCTCAGTTAAAACAGCTCAGGTCTGAAGAGGTAGCTATTTCTTCCATATTGACTAAGGAAACTGCTGACAAGTGGTGCAACTCTAACATGGCAAGATGGACTCCAAGGTTAGTGAAGGAATGAAGATTGGATACTGCAGATAGAGAAGCTCTGACCTAGTATAAGACAGGTCAAAATGTTAGAAGGGAAAGATAAGGTAGATAGATATAAGCAAGCTGAAGTAGGAACTGAAAAAAAATCCCAGGAGAACATCAGTCATGAAAATAAGTGTTGTATTTTACAAAGAAGGAAAGCAAGACTGAAGTTTGGGACAAGAAGTTGGCAGAGCCAGACAGAAAACAGAGATGAGTGACCCAATGAGTGATAGAAGACAAAACCAGTATTAAATGCCAGAACAGAGAGGTGATTTGGATGTGATGAGCACATCAGGATATGAACCAAGCAGCCTGGAGTTGGCATAACCAACAGGCAGCATCAACAATCTCTGTCTGAGAAAAATGAGAACTTTGGCTGCAACTGTGTGATTTGGCTCTAAACCAAACAAAGATCCTAACTACTCCTCAAATTTCATGGAATTTGCATAGCCCACTAAAATAAGCTACTTCCAGTACTTTAAACTTCCACTATATCTCCACAATATTGAAGCCAGTAAGGCCAGATATCCTCAGACAAAGTACTTACCACTGCCCTGTCTCTGGTATCTGCCTAAACATCCTAATAGCTTGTACCTGGAGGATAGGCTCTTTATCCCATTTCCTAACTGCTCATTATGCAGATTTACCCTTTCAGTAGCAAATATCCTACAGCAAGGCCTAGCTGGCTGTTTTATAGCCCTAATGTTGCTGAAGAAGCTGATTATGATCAAGAGCTGACCTTTCAGAGCTGAAAAATCAGGGGACCACTTGCAAGTCAAGACATACTTTTTACAGCTATTGCAAGAGGGTGCTAATTTTGTACTGCAGTCTTTTGATCTACAAGCAGCAAAATTAAGACTGATATTCACTTCCAACAAGAAAAGTGAAAGGCAAAAGACTGCACTCTGGAAAAAAAAAGGCTTTAAACTGGGATGTTATTAACACTTGCTCACCCACCCCCAGCAAGTCCTACACTATTTTGTTGCTGTGGGATTTTTAGATTGTCCTATCCTCTTTCTTACTGCTATAATAGAAACAAATCATTTTTAACACAGAAATAGATTCAGGTCTTCCCTAAGATTTATAAAAAAGTCGTAATTTTGTTCTCTCTGTACTCAGTAATCTGACCTAATTTAGTCAAACAGCATCCTCTATCAAATTGTCCTACCCATTAAATAGTTAAATTTACCCAAGAGTTACTTTCTAAAACATTTTCAAATGTGTTATTTCATTATAAATTTCTACAAAAAGGCTATCCAAAACAATCCAAAAATGTTGGCTAGTTTTTGCAGGAAAGCATTTTTGGCCACACTTCATTTCTTACAATGTAGCCATTTCCAACCCACTAAATTCTGTAAGATTTCCACATAAAAATGTAATTGTTATAATATTGGACTTATAAAGCTTCTCTTACCACGTTTGCAGATTGGAGGATAAAAGGCATCAGGATAAATGCTTCCAGCCTGAAAAGCATCTTGGTGATTTAGTAGTAACTGGGGAAAGGACGGGGAGGAAAGGAATCAGAATGCTATTGCACAGCACAAAACCACATTTTACTGCCAACATCAAAGATACATTCTAAATAGCCAGCAAAATACAACTAGTATCTTGGTAAAATACACCATGTAGTGCACAAAACCTTGCTGTCATTTTGTTGTCCTTAGGTTTATTAAATCTGCTTTCCTAAAGTCCTCTACTGATTCTTGTAATACAACTACTCACATAGAATATAACTAAAGAAGATAGGAAAACATGCAAGCAACCACACAAAGTGTGTATATATACACATTGGTATAATTGCTATATTTCTGTAATAATATTCAGAAGGAATCAAATTATTTTGAATAAAAAAGATAAAACATACAGTCTGGGCACAATATTGATAAACACATTACTGAGAATAACAAAGAAAGGCAAGAAGACAGAAAGAAAAGCATTCAGAAAAAAGGAGTACAAAATTAAGAAATAATATGCTTCCTACCTGTCTATAATTAACACTCCCTTCATGCTTATGGAAAAATTGCAGAGCTCTATGTGCTGAAAAACAATATATTGAAGTGTTAATTTACAGGTACTGTGTCCAGGCCCACATTTTGGTAGAAGCAGTAGCAGAACCAGAAGACCCTACATTTTCATACCCAAACCAAGCACCAAGCACATGAAACACCATTTCTCACAGAACTGCATACTGGTGAGAAGGTGTGTTTTCTCACCTAGGGAGTTAATAAGAAAGTGCTCTTTCTGTGGCACGTCTTTCAATCTCTCTAATCCCTAGCTCCCAAGCTGACCAACCAAGCTGAAATCACAGGGAAAAGAACTCCCCAAATCCAGAAATGAGCTACAGCAGTGAACTGACAGGACCACACACAGCACATGTAAAGCATGGATCATAAAGTTTTAACTGTACTGTACTCAAGCTTCACTTTTGCCCTTAACAGTGAAAAAGGTATATTGGGAATCAATGTGGGTGTTTAACAATTTGATTAATTTTTAACATGCATGAAAAGTAACAAAAATCTAAAGGTAAATCAGCAAGGTAAATAACACTACTTATTCACTGAATTGGCAGATATTTTTACTGCCAAAATCTTTATTTAGCTGGCAAAACAAGGGAATGAAATGAAATTGCATCCTTTTCTTTAATGAAGTCACCTAATTAATATTAGATCCCAGGAAAAATCTATTGACACTATTCTAAAAATACCCAACATTTCCTCTAAAGCAAATTTCAAAGATTAATTAGTTCCTTACCAAATAAATCATATCACAAAAAAGCCCAAAAAACCAAACAACAAAATAAACAAACAGAAAACTCCCCCTAACAAATCCCAAACAATCTGTTACTATTCTGGAATAAGATCTAGACAAAACTGTGGGGGTTTGAATGATCTTTCACTTTGAATTTTACCCAATAATCTAAATCATCCTTATGCAAGTAAGATACCTTAAAGATCAGCCTTGCACCAGAAGAGAAACAGCAACAAAATAGTAAGTAATACCCTAAAATTTCAAGGCTCAGACATTTCTACACACATCTCTGATTCCAGTGTGGGAGAGCCTCAGTTTGGCAGTTTGCTTTTTCTGCCTCACACCTCCTCCGCACTTCTCTCACTACTCAAGTGGGACCAGGTTCTACAACTCCACAAGGAATTTTATGCCAGATCCCCACAGTCCCACAGAGCCTCACAAGTCTGACAGGAACCCCTAGGGCGAAGAGCTTCCCCACTCGGACCTGCCTCCAGGCACGGCCATGCAAGTAGGACACAGCACAGCTCTGCCAAGCACACTGAATGCGATCAACATTCTGAACAGGCAGCGCTTTTCACCATTTCACCATTTTAATTCTATCCAGGATTTCTTTGGTGCTGGCTTTGAGCAAGACGAATTACTTTCTATGGTTTGTTTGGGTTTTTTGTTTGTTTTTGCTTTTTTGTTTTTGTTTGTTTGCTTGTTTTTGTTTGCCTGGAGTACTCAGTGTTTGAATTTGGAAATATTTTGCAAATATTTTGCAAATATTTTCATCTTATCATCATAGACTTTTATGTGAGCAACAATAAGAGCACTCATTTCAGCCGCATCAGAGCTGATCACAGTTTAATGTAATTTTCTGACACATGGACAAAACTCATTGTAAACTATAACCCAATGATTCAGTGTATGCACAACTCCTCAGACAACCAAGATCGTTATATTATATATACAAGTTTTCTGCAACATGCTCCCTTGATTAGAAAAAGGAAAAAAAATACTGTTTTGGGACAGATCTGTAAGCTTCTCTTTGTAGATTTTTTTTTTTTTTTCCCAAACACACTCTATTCTGCCTAATCTGTTATTTCAAGTCCTCAGAAGCTCATACTTGGTAATTAGAGCCCGGAGCTTGCAAAGTTGTGTGCACTTGCCTAACCTCAGGCAGCGTGACTTCTCCTACAGATTATTATGGGTTTCTTGACACATTGTTAGGAAAAGCAAATTGTTCCAGGATGCTGACCATGGATACAACACTCAGTAAGGGAACACACTCCAGTCTCAAACACCATGAATAATCCCAGTCTTTAAATTGTTCAAAGTTTTATGTATTGTATTCAGTACTTAAAGCCTGAGAAAATTACCTGAATAAAGGCAACATCCTACATTTCACCATCTGTTTGAGCAATGGATTTAGAAACAAAACCAGAAGAACAAACAACTTGAACTGTCAATTATTATGAGTACTCAGAAAAACCTCACACTGCTCATCTTTGTGCTCGCAAAACTGCGGAAGAAACCAGATTTTAAAAATAGCACAGGCAAACAAGAAATTCAAAACAGGAATATTTCTCCATTTTGATGTGCACTCAGTTGTCTCCTTCGTTCTCTACAAATCTAGGCTGTTCTGCCTACAGAGAGCAACCTATCAGAAAGAGACACAGAACAAAATGTTTATGCTGTTAGTTACAGACAGAAACACATTACAGAATTTTATCTACTTGCGCAGGTATGGCATAATTAGTACAGAGTGATTTAAAAACAGAGTTACCACAAAGAACTTGTGTTATTCTTTAATTTAAATATAACAATCCCACAAATTTCCTAAAGCATTCCTTTTCCTTCTCCAAACCAAAACTCTGTCTGCGTACGACTCACAGACAAAAACATTCCAGTTACATAATGCCTGTGTCTTAGGAGACAGAAAAATACGCAACACAAGTAAATTCAAGCATTTTACTTACAAAACCAGTAAAATTTCAGACTCCAAAATCAAACTGCTCATTTATCCTATCTGTTATTCACATTTTTAAAATTATGTAGACTGCTTGTTACTTTAACATTATTTCCTCCCTCTGCTTTCCAGCTGAATCTGGATTTATCTCTCTTCACAAGAAATTCAAAACACAAGAAAATCCATTTTGAACGTCTTACCTATTTCAACATGTGTTGAAATTCCACATGGGATACATCTCTGACAGAACTGGTAGAGTATAACCAGCGAGACAGACCAATTCTTCAGACCAACCATGATGCTGGCTCCAACTGTGGTTTTCAGAAGCCTGGAGCAGTAGCACTGTGACCTTTGAAATGTAGGTTACGGAGCATGCCTTTTCTTTCACACATATTGCTGACACAGCAAGCAGACGACTGCCAGATTTGAAAGGCTATTTTATACCAGTGCTTTCTTTTACTGCAAATAAAGTGATTTATATAAAGAAAGAAATAAACTGTGGGCATTCTCCCCACTTGAATTCTGTAACATCTCTGGGATTTGAGCAGTGTAATCAGTGCATCACTGCACAGCAGCAGTGAGATTTCTGTTAAATCCAACGGCATGGCAGAGAGTATCCTCTCATAATTTGTCCAGCTCATGGTGTGCTTGCCTTACAGCTACTGCATCCCATTTCACAAAAGAAATTAAAGCCAATTGCCAAACCAGTATTAATAGAAAAACACTAGCTCCTGAGTTGCAGATGATCCAAATTCATGACTTTTGGTGAGCTGATAGGATATTGCACACTTAAGTCTGGGTCTTATGGTCAGTATTGAAAGCCCAGCTGATATGTGGGAGACTCATGGAAGTACTCTTGCCAGCTGTACTGCTACGAACTTCTGGCTGCAGAGGCTGGACACCCTGTGTTTCCCAACCACACTAGTCCCCAGCGAGATGGTGGCACTGGGCAGGGGCTTCGCATGGCCCTTGTGCCACAGACTGACCAGCTGTCATGGGACCCAGTGGCCCACAGGCTCCCATGGGCCACTGCTCCTGCAGCTAAGCACAAGTTAGCCTGGAGAAGACTGAGAGCCCTGAGACCTTATCACAACCTGCAACTTCCTCACCAAGGGAAGAGGAGGGGCAGATACTGATCTCTTCTCTGCGGCGATCAGTGACAGGGCACAAGGGAATGGCATGAAGCTGTATCAACAGTGGTTTCAGTTGGGTATTGGGGGAAGGTTCCTCACCCAGAGGGGGCTTTGGCACTGGAACAGGCTCCCCAAGGAAGTGGTCAGACCACCACGACTGACAGAGTTCAAGAAGCATTTGGACAACGCCCTCAGCCACCTGATGTGACACCCGGCGTGCGCTGTGCAGGGCCAGGAGTTGGACTTCGATGATCCCTGTGCGTTCGTTCCCACACAGGATACTCTGTGACTCTAGGCCTCCCCTCTCCCTACGAAGCGGGGGTCTCGATGGGCGCGGGACACGAGGCTCCGGGAAGCAGCCCGCCGCCGCTTCCTGATGCGCCCCGCGCCTCTCGCCCCGGGGCCGGCGCGGGCCGCCAGCCGGGCCCTGTCCGCCGCCCTGGTGCGCCGGGGCGGCCTGGTGGGCGGCCGATGGGTGGAGACGGCCGCCGCTTTCCCCGTGCAGGACCCGGCCAGCGGCGAGGAGCTGGGCCGGGTGTCCGACTGCGGGGCGGCCGAGGCGCGGGCGGCTGTGCGGGCCGCGCACGAAGCCGGCGCCGCCTGGGGCCGCCTCCCCGCCAAGGTGAGCGGCCGCGGGAGGTGGCGGCGAGGGGGCCCCGGGGCCGTCCGGTCCGCCCCGGTCGGGTCTCCCGGGGCCTCGCTTCCCCGTCCCTGCGTGCGGCGGCCGCGGCAGCCTTGTCTCTCCCTCCTCCCAGGAGAGGAGCGCGCGCCTCCGCAGATGGTACGAGCTGATGATGGAGAACAAGGAGGAGCTGGCGCGGATCATCACAGCCGAGAACGTGAGTGGGGCGGCGGGGGTGGGCACGGGCACTGCCCCGTGCTGGCACTCGCGCTGGGAAACCCAACACAGGCAGGCGAACAGGGACACCAAGTAAAAGTTACAGCCGTCAAACCTCTCCCTGCGTGCTTCACCAGTTAGCCATCATGTCCTTTTTAATAATTTTGGGCATATTGTGCACTCCCATTGCTGTGCTACATCAGTGGGTGACGTTTCAAACATTCCTCCTCCGGACATACATAAAGTGTATTGGTTTGATAAGAGTAGTACCTAATCAGAAGGAACCAGACCCATATTGTGCTTCATGGCATGCAAAAGCGTACATCCACCTGTGCCATGGTCCCCGTGGCAGAAATGTTTGTGACTGGGAAAAATCAAGCAAGTCTCCAAGTTGGATTCATACAGTCTCACTGAGTAGATTACAGTATCACTGAGTAGTCTGGGAGCTCACAAACTGGTGACCTTTTGGACAAAACCTTGCTGGAAGATACTTCAGCAGATCCTCTGTTGGGAAGGATAACCTGGCATAAATCTGACATAAACTTGTAACTGTTTTGACATGATTTGTGTCTTTCTTCAGAGTGGTAATAGCAGCTAAATTAGAGTTTGTAAATAAATGCATTCTACATTTGCTATTTCTCCTCCTTGTCTTGGGTCGATGGGCGCGGGACACGAGGCTCCGGGAAGCAGAAGCCCCCTCCCGCCCCCAGACCCCCCGCTACATTCCCACCCTCGCCCGGGCAGACTGGGCGCCCCTGGCCAGCTGCCACCCGCCGCCGTGCCCCGGCGAGACGCCGCTTCTGGCCCAGCCCCTCGGCAGCTCCTCCTCCGGGGCGGCGCGGGCGGGCCGTGCCGGGGCTGTGCCGGGCCCCGCCGCCTGTCGCCGGAGCGCCGCCATGGCCACCCTTGTCTTGGGCAGGTGTGAATCCAGGCACAGCATACAGATTATTGACTATACAATGATGGTATATTGAATCCACACAACTATTGCTGCTGCAATCATATAATCCTTGCTGGAAATCACAGTGTATGTCAGAGGGAGGGGATCATAAAGTACTCTGAAAATAAGAGAAACTCCAAAATTGCTTGAATTTCTTTGTATTGCTTCCGTTTGCTGCTTACAATGTATCTTCAATCTGATTTAATCAAAGGGGAAGCCTCTGAAAGAAGCACAGGGTGAAATCACATATTCAGCCTCGTTTCTGGAGTGGTTTGCGGAGGAGGCTCGGCGGATTTATGGTGATGTTATTCCAGCATCTGCAAAGGACAGAAGAGTCCTGGTGCTGAAGCAGCCAGTAGGAGTGGCAGCCATTATAACCCCAGTAAGCATATCTGAACTCTTCTGAGTCACGTGAAGGCTTTCAGCTCAGCCCCCCGTTCAAAATGTCACTTACTTCTGCAGAAACAGGAGGCAAAATTTTCCCAACTTTGATTGTACTATTTTCTCTCTTCCTAGTGGAATTTTCCCAGCGCTATGATTACCCGGAAGGTTGGTGCAGCTCTGGCAGCTGGCTGTACAGTAGTGGTGAAACCTGCAGAGGACACACCTTTATCAGCATTAGCTCTTGGGGAGGTGAGCTTTCAGTACTAAGATTTACCTCAACAATGGACTGATACTGTAAACAGGGAATCCAGATGAGCTTAGAAGTTAGCTCTGACCAGCTTCATATGTAAAGAAAGGACAAAGTGATTTGATGCAGGCAGGTGTTTTAGTTTAGTGAGAATCTTTGCAAATTGCCTCTAATATGGTCTTGAGCCTCAAAGTGGATGATACTCAAAATATCCTTATGTCTTTAATTTGGTTCTTTTGAACACAGACAGAGCAAAGCTGCTCTCTCAAGCACCTGTTCCTGGTTGTGCTGAGTCCTTTTGGCTTCCACTGGCTTACAGACTGTTTTCTTCAAAACAATGAACAATCATTAACTGACTATTCCTCTTACAAAATGCACTAATTATGCAAATTCTGTTTTTCTTTTGTTACAGCTTGCAAACCAGGCTGGAATCCCAGCAGGAGTGTATAATGTTGTCCCTTGTTCCAGACAACAGACAGCAGCTGTAGGGGAAGTTCTATGCACTGATCCATTGGTATCCAAAATATCTTTTACTGGCTCTACAGCAACAGGAAAGGTACATACGTGGACAGAATATCCTTGAAGATTGTTACTGTGATTATACTAGAAAGGTAGGGGGAAAGTGTGTGCCTTTATAGAGAGCCTTCTTTCCTGGCTGCTGTAGACAGATTGTCCAAATAATTGTGTAACTCTTGAGATACTGCTTATATGTTTTAGCATCAGTACTTCACAGAATGATGCCTATCTGTAATTCTTGATAACTGCCCTTTATTAAACTATAATGTGAACAGTCCTGTACACTATGTTCTTGGTCTATGTCATAAGGTGACAACACACTAATAAGAACACTGAAACTGAGTTTGAAAGGTGCCAGTCAAGAATGGCTTCAGCAGTTGAGAGAAAGTATTAGAGGAGTGAGGCCCTGGAATCTCTGCTATCAGCCGTAGTCAATAAGCAATCTTGTCACCATTTCTAATTGAATCACTAAAACTGCAGTGTGGCTACAAAATGACAGTTCTCTAGGATGGCTGTATGCAGAATGCAGCAAAAGTCTGATATCAAGGCAAATCATAATACCACATTCTGTCAGATCCTGGAAAACTTTCATAAGAGTAGCCAAGATTTTATTACCACAAAAAATAGAACAAACAAAAAAAAGTTGACAATATTAGTGTATAAAAGCTTAACCTGACCTGAAGTTCATAAAAATTTTTCTCTGCATTAGGCCTTGGCCAGAATTTCATCTTTAAAGATTTTAATGGATGAAAGTTGCTTTTGTTTTAGGAGATGGTCTAACACTGAGAAGATGCAGATTATTTCCTTGCTGGAGTTAATTTTTCACTCCATTGCATCCATGATTCCACTGTTCACATCTCTTAGAGGTACAGATGTGTGTGTCTCTTCTTTTGCCTACAGATCTTGCTGAAACACGCAGCTGGTACTGTGAAGAGAGTTTCCATGGAGCTTGGAGGACATGCTCCTTTTATTGTGTTTGACAGTGCCAATGTGGACCGGGCTGTCACAGGAGCCCTGGCTTCTAAGTATAGAAACTCAGGACAGGTGAGAAATTTTGTCCTTGTTTCTAGACAGTAAAGAGCTGTACATAAAGTTTAAGCTGTAAATAAGCTATTTTATGTAAAAGGAAAGCATAGAACACTTCATTGTGAAGAGAAAGGTGCTGCACTCACAAATGGCTCTGGGCACTAAAGCCAGTTACCAGCAAGTCTAAATAGCAACACTGAAATCCCATATATT